ATATCAGAGAGAATGAAAATTGGTAATATTTAAAAAAATAACACTTCTAACAGAATTTATCTAAGAAAAACTACATTAAAATTAATTTTAAAAACTTAAATTTATTTTTTAAAATGCTAACAATAAAATGCAATCCTTTTTAAGAGAGGAACTCACTCAACAGGCCTACTGATTCCTTCCTATAATAAGAGAAAACAAAGCCTTCTCCTTCAGCCACCCCTCTTCTCCCACCCTCCACGTCACCTTCACTCAGGAGTGTCAGATGAGGAGCCTGCCATCTTAGAGCTCTAGGCCCTTGACTTAGAACCTGCCCCTTAGGGATGACTCATACCAACAACACCATAGTTATGTGCTCTTCCCTGGAACAGACAACTCTAAAGAGCAACCACTTAAGGCAGATTTCTAAGACAGCCACACTTCTTTCCCAAGTTAGCCTGGATGGGACACACCTGATACCATCACCCAGCAAACCCTCACTCCAATCCTCTGACTCACCAGGGTTGTAACCTTATAGCTAATAGGCACACATTCCTTAGAACACATAAAAGAACTGTGCATAATTCTCATAAGACACCGTGTGTGTGTGTGTGTGTGTGTGTGTGTTTGTGTGTGTGTGTGTGTGTGTGCAATTAAACTGACAATAAAATCATCAACAACTCATGATAATGACTAACATTCACTGAGCCTTCATAATACATAATACATCTCATACAACACAAAATCTAGAAGTATTAGTTGAGTTTAAAATGTCTAAAAATAGCAAGGGGGGGAGGGTGCACACACCTGTTAATCCCAAAATTAGGGAGGCATAGGCAGGTGGATCTCTTTGAGTTTGAGGTGAGCCTGAACTACAGAGTAAATTCCAGGACAGCAAGGTCTACGTAGAGAAAGAAACCCTATCTTACCTGTAATCCCAGCACTTGGGAGGCAGAGGCAGGTGGATCTTGTGAATTTGTGACCAGCCTGGTCTACAAAAGCTAGTTCTAAAACAGGCTCCAAAACTACACAAGGAAACCCTATCTCAAAAAACTAGAGGAAAAAAAAAAAAAAAAAAAAAAAAAAGCCTGAGACAACTGATATCAGTGTTTGAGAAACTCAAAAATTTGAAGCAATTATTTGTAAAAATGTATACTGAAGACTGACTGCTCAGTGGGTAAGAGCATTTGCTCTGGAATCATGAAATCCTATTTAAAATCATAAACCAATTTAAAAGCCTGCCATAATTTTGTGTACCTGTAACCACAGAACTAGGAGCAGAATCAAACAGATCCTATAAACTCACTAGCCAGACAACTGAGGGAGCTTCTGAGTCATTTATTTGAGAGGTCCTGACTCAGAGTAGTAATAACCAGAGAGGAAGACACCCAATATTCTTTTCTGGCCTCCTATTTTGCACACAGGAAGGCACACACTCACACATTCAAGTGCATGCACAAAAATCACAGGCCTATACAACACACAGTAAGTTTTTTTTTTTTTTAAATTGCTTACCTAGGAAATATCATGAATAAAAAACATACACTTTTCATTAGTGCAAAGTGTCATGAGGAGCAAAATCCACACAGAAGGTTGTTGGGTAAGCTAATCCTTAAATCTTCCCGTTTAATTGCCAGTTAAGACTAGCTGCTAATCCTTGTCAGCACTGCCTTCATCTGAGGTAGGCCTGGCACAGCAGTAGCCCAGGTTCCTGGATTAAGAATGTTTTAGGGGTAGGTATTTTCACAAAGCAAGGCTATCACCATTTTCAGAATCACTGTCACTTCTTTTCAGGAAGCCATCAGGAAAATACCCTTCTACTTATCCTTCAACAGGCAGGTGAAGTGGGAACCACAGAGCCTCCGAAGCAGGAGCCCTGGTGGTGTGTGCTCTAGCCGTGTCCTCTTTCAGGAAGTGTTGTCTAGCACATTATGATGATGCACAAAAGAGAAAGGAAGGACAGCAAAAGAATAGGAAGTCTGCCTGACAGAAGGCATCACTCAGATTCTATAGTACAAGAATAATAAGCCTCATCATTATTATTATTATTATTATTTTGGTTTTTCGAGACAGGGTTTCCCTGTGGCTTTGGAGGCTGTCCTGGAGCTAGCTCTTGTAGACCAGGCTGGTCTCGAACTCACAGAGATCCACCTGCCTCTGCCTCCCGAATGCTGGGACTAAAGGCGTGCTGCTCCACCAACACCCGGCTAACAAACCTCATTTTAAGAATGCAACTTTTTACTTTTTCTTTGAGGTGTAGAGCTCAAATCCTGGGCCTGGTACATGCTTGACAACCGCTCTCCACTGATTTGCCCTGACCTTCAGCCCTAATAACTACATTTTTAAATGCTTAGTAACTTTCAGGAGCTACCACAGGACACCAGGGTCCCCAATTGTAGGGCTGATGCTAGTGCTTCATTTCCATATGAACAGTTCCTAACCAGTTCCCTGAATCTCAGGAGTTTGTTTTCTTACTGGAGAAAAACTGCTCCCATGTGCTGATGCAGTTTGCCCACAGTATCATATACTTCAAATCCCACACCTCCAGCTTACCTCCTCTTTCACACCCAACCTTCATTCAACAAACACCTGTGAGCATCATGCTGGTAGATTATGGGATCCTGTAAGCTATAGGTGGTCAACGAACAGAATAATCAGGTTTAGAAGCCTTGAGTTCAACTGAAGTTTCAAGTCTGATTTATTGTTAGATCTTGAGCACAGCAGATTGTCAGGGTGTATCTACAACTATACTCAGAAGTACACCCTCTCCAAAGTGCTCTTGGGTAAAAGTGGGTAGAACTGTGCAGCATGTATCCAACACTGAACCACACACTAATACAATTATTCTCAAGAATACAGAGAAATACAGAGATGGGCAGCAAGCAAAGGCCTTAGAAAGGACTCCAGAGTCCTTCAGTCACTAAGAAGTCTCCTGGGCTGTCACAGAACCCCACACAATAAGCTTCTAGCTGAGGGCATCAGAACTGCTCACTCTTATGCATGGTATGGTGGTAAATGCCTGATTCATGCAAGCCCTTTGCCAAGCTGAAGCAGGAGGATCATGAGTTGCAAGCTAGCATATAGCAAGATCCTGTTTGCAAGAAACAAAACACTTCCTCAAAAGAAGTAAAATTACTTCATCTCACTGTCACCTCAAGTCCCAACAGACAAGTAACCAACGACAACACTTCTAAGAGATTTTTACTTTTAAATCAGTGGCATATCTGACTTTTAAAAAGCTTTTAACATTCAAATAATCACTGATCAAAAGTTGCAAAGAGATTTACAAGGAAGTCCTAAGCACCTTTCTAATACCCTATTAAAAGTTGGTGGGTCTGTCTTTGAAAATAGATGGTTCCCTGTACATCTCCCAGGAACCCAGTGCCTCAAGTGTTCAGTACTCACTGACTGACTTCCTGGTGAGAAGGCCATGGCCTAGCTGTTACTTAGTTCATTTGCATTCATTCAATAAATACTGGGCACAAACTATATGACTACTCTAAAAAACAAAAAATCTTATCAAGAAAAAACATTAAATACATTAATACATTAAGCAAGAGTCAAGTGTGTGTGAAAATTAAGCTTGGAAGGGAGAAAATGGGAAGTAGAGAGCTGAAATTATAAGTAGTAGAATCTAAGAATATCTCACAGAACAGGAATAATTGAATGTTCAAGAAGGACTCAAGGGCTGAGCACTTAAATTTGTTCGTAGACTCAAAAGGAGCCTGCTGGGACAAGGAGAGTGTGAGGCAGAAAGCTTAAAACTCTCCAAGGACTCAAGGGCCACCCCTCCCCAAAGGGTCCTCACAGACAAGGCCAACCTAAGTATGAAAACACTGATAACGACCAGGCAGTGGTGGCATATGCCTTTAGTCCTGGCACTAAGGAGATAGAGGCAGGATGTGCTGAGTTCAAGGCCAGCTTGGTCTACAGAGTAAGCTCCAGGGCAGCAAAGGCCACACGGAAAAACCAAATAGAAAAGCAAAAGAAGCTACTGATACAAATCACAGAGCTTTACACAATAGATCAGAAACAGTCCACAAAGTCCTGGCCTTTTTTGTTTTTTTTCGATACAGGATTTCTCTGTATTGCTCTGGAGCCTATCCTGGAACTCACTCTGTAGACCAGGCTGGCTTCAAACTCACAGAGATCCACCTGCCTCTGCCTCCCGAGTGCAGGGATTAAAGACGTGCACCAAAGACGCCCGGTCAAATCTTGGCTTTTAATGTCAACCAAATAAAAACAAATACATCAATAAATACATAAAAATAAATTATCGTACAACCGTTAGAGTTCTGCCTTTAGGTAACCATGACAACAGATAGGTCACTATAATTCTTTCCGATATTAAGTAGTGTTTTGTTTTCAACAGACAAATCACTAGCAATTCAGATATGGTGCCTAAAAGGCACCAAACGTCCCACAAACGGAGACCCAATTTTCCTTAAGCCCAACCTGAAAACAAAGCTACTTTTGCATTCTTTTTCCGAAGACGCACTTAAAGAATTCGGAGAAATCGTCTCCTAGGCAGATGGAAAAACAAGTTTATAATCAAGCCACATAACACAAATTGGAGCCTAAACGGATGAGCCCGTAGTAACTCTCCCTGACAGCATCACACAAAAGCACCTCTTAATGTCGTTGTGAAGCATATAAAAATTTATTTTTACAGGTAAATGCTTTTGGAATTTACAACTGTAAGGCAATCTTCCGCGCCCCAGGCTGTGAACGAGCCTCGGAGCCTTCACTGCCCTCCTCCCTACACCGGAGTTTCTGCGTCCCGGGTGCCGCGGAGGCGGCCGCGCGTGCGGACCCGGGTTGGCCCGGAAAGCCTCGTCCCCGCGCCGACCCGCCGTGCGCAAGGTCGAGCGGGGCCTAGCGGCGCCCAGGGCCCAACCCGACTGAGGGCCGGCCGCCATTTCCGGCTGTGGGCAGCCTTCACCGCGTTCTGCGGCGCCCTCGCCCGGTCCCGTCCCCTCCCCCGGCTCCCGCGGCTCCACCTAATTCGAGGGCAGTGAGCTCACCTGTCGGCCCGCCCGCCTGTCCACCGGTCCCGCGGCTCCGCTCTCCGTACCGCGGCGCTGCTGGGCAGCCGGCCGTCTTACCGCTCGGCCTGAGGATCCGGGGCGGCGACAGCGGTAGCAGCGGCAGAGGACGGCGGAAGCAGCACCGGCGGCAGCGAAGACGCGCACGCTCACGAACTGGCACTCGCGCCCCGGAAGGACGTGTGCTCGGCGGGTCAGAGCCGGCTGCGCAAGCGCCCAGAGCGCCACACAGAGGCTCCGCCCCCACAGGCGGAGCCAACGCAGCAGTCCTGCGCGGAGGCTCCGGAGCTCCGGTAGAACTCGGTCCAAGAAAGGCGGTGCCCGTATTGAGGATCAACGGGAAGGGTCAAAGTAATGGGCGGAACCTGCAGCCTCTAAGCCGGAGGCTCCCCAGTCACGGAAAAACCAACCGCCATTACTTAGCGATGCTCTAGGAATCACCTGCAGTCATGTGCGGGGACGGATAAGGACTTTCCTTCTCACTCTCCGGTACAATCCTTGTTCATCCTGTTCATTTACAAAGGAGAAACCCGGTCACCTTGCCTATTACCCCCTGTAATAATCCCCCCATTTAGACGGGCACGGTGATGCACACCTTTAATTCCAGCACTCAGGAGGCAGAGGCAGGCAAGATCTCTGAGCTCGAGGTCTACAAAGCGAGTTGCAGGACAGCCAGGGCTACATAGAGAAACCCTGTCTCGAAAATAAATAAGTAAATAAATAATCTTAACCATTAGTGCTACTGTATTTTTTAGGCAGATACCCAGAGCTACCAAAATGGTCTTTGTGGCCAGTGCTCCTACACTTTCATTCTTGCCTACCATTTTATTATAATTTTTAGATTATAATTACATTATTTTCCCCTTCCCCCTCCAACTCTCTCATGTTCTCTCCAAATTCATGGCCTTTTTCTTGTTACATATGTAATTCTTAGATACATAAATAAACCTGCTCAGTCTGTATGTTACTAGTATTCAGATGTTTTCAAGACTGACCAAATTGCTGTGCTCTTTTCCTCAGGAAAAATTGTTTCTCCTGCTCTCACAGTTCCTCAGCCTGTATTTCTTTGTTTAGGGCTGAGGACTTGTGGGCATTCTCCCTAATACATTAGCATGTCTGCTGATGTCCTTGTTCAGGTTGAAGTTAGTCAGCCACATTGGCTAGACTTAACGGACGTAGCTTCTCTGACATTACAGCAAACTTCCTGTTCCCCTAGTTCTTAACAATCTTTCCTTCCCCTCTTCCACAATGATCCCTGAGCCTTAGAGATGCAAGAGTTGTGTTGTAGATGCAACAGTTGGGACTAGGCTCTACGATTCTGCATTTTGATAGTTGCAGTTTTCTGTAATGATATCCATCTATTGGAAAGATTCTCCTTGATGAAGGATGAAAACTACATATATCTGGATATAAGGATAACTATTTAGGATGCAATTAGGGATTATGCTGGTTTAGTAAAGTGATCCATGACTTCACTAGCCCCAGGGTTAGGGTTAGATTTCCACTATCAGGCATGATTTCCCTCTTGCTTAGCAGGCCTTAAGTCCAATCAGAGAGCTGTTGGTTATGACCAATGTATGAACGGGTGCCACTAATGTGACCATAAGTCAGCTTTCAAAACAAAGCAAATGACACTCAAGACCTCCCATAATGAATTTAGCAAAATCCAATCTTTTTTAGCAGGGTCTATTCATCTTACCCAGTTGGATGTCATCTCTCTTCATCTTATACTTTGTGCACTCTGGCTGAATTTGAATTGCCATGTTCCAGGCTCAGACTTGGAGAAGTGGGTAGCTCAAGAAACTCAGTAAATTGCACAGCAAGAAGCAAGTAACAAAAAAGGCTTAAGAAAATCAATAAGCAGAAAGACTAAGTTATCTATTGACTCAAGAGAAGGAAAGCCAGGTGCAATGGCATGCCTGTCACCCCAGCAAAGACAGGAGGCTCTTGAATTTGAGGGAGGGGATATATATATATCCAGGCCATTTGAGGGGTAGAACATGAGTGGAAAATTCCACAGTTGGAAGAAATAGCAAAACAGACCCAGAACCCACTGAAGACTGAAGCCATAAAGCTGTCTATGTTGGGGACTGTAAGAAAAAGCAACCAGGCCTTAAGTGAATCCCTCCAGATCTAGCATTGTCTCCTAATACCTCCAAATACTTTAGTTTTATGTGCTAAGATGTTTGTAGTAGTATCATTATAGCGAAAAGGGCAAAAATCCCACACCTTTAATCAGGAGACAACAACAGGTTGAACTAGAGTTCAAGTCCAGCCTGGACTACAAAATGAGCTCCAGGATAGCCAGAACAACACAGTTGTTCGAATGGAATATAGCCATTAAGTGCATACAAAATAGCAGGGCAGTGGTGGTACATGCCTTTAATCCCAGAACTAGAGGAATAAAGATCCCTGTGTGTTTCAGAACAGCCTGGTCTACATAGTGAGTTCCAGAACAGCCAGAACTATACAGTGAAACTCTGTTAAAATACAAAAACAAGAGAGTAGGTACAAAATAGCTATGGGGGGGGGGGAAATGGCTACAACATACATGCACACACAGAGACACACAGACACACACATACACTAGCTATGGGGAGAAAATGGCTACAACACACACACACACACACACACACAATGCTTATGATAGCTCTTCACAGTAAACTCTGCAAAAGCATGATTTAAAAAATTTACAGATGTTCACAATTAAGTGAGTCCATTTTTTAAATTTGTTTTTATTCATTTCTTTCTTTCTTTTTTTTTTTTAAGACAGGGTTTCCCTGTGTATCCCTGGCAATCTTGGAACTCTTCATAGACCAGACTGGCCTCAAGCTCACAGATATCTGTTTAACTATGTAAAGATGTGTTGCATTTGTTTAACAACATTTCACCTGGCCTGCCTAAGGCACCTGATTAGCCTAATAAAAAGCTGCAATAGCTAGGCAGAGTAGGGAAAGGTAGGGATGGCAGGCAAAAAGAAAGGCGGGCCAGCCAGCCAGATATGGAGGAAGCAGGAGGTACAGTACATAGATGAGGAAAATGGGCCTCGGAGTAGCACATAGATTAATAGAAATGGGTTATTTTAAGTTAAAAAAAAAAAGCTAGCTAGAAACAAACTTAAGATAAGGCTGAGCATTAAAAATTAGTAAGTCTCTGTGTCATGATTTGGGGGCTGTCAGGCTAAGAAAGCTTGCTACAGATATCCACCTGCCTCTGCCTCCTAAGTGCTGGGATTGAAGGTGTACACCACTATTCCAAGCTAATAAGCCAACACTGAAGGGACTGTATGACAGGAAGATACCTGACAAATACTAGCAGTAGTTAAGAATTTGAGTGGGTTTTCATATTTGCCTTTGATGCTAAGTGCTTTATTTAACCTTTCATTTAAATAAGGCAGGGCTCAGTATGAGGCCTCAGATATGGCTGCTCTTCCCCAGGGCAAGCCCCTCAAATGTGTACTGTCTCTACCCATTCCGCTCATTCCAGTCCACCACACACTGAGAGACCCTCATTACACCTTGATTTATTAGAACCAAAGTTGCTCAAACACATCTTCAAGGAGTATAACTCCTGAGATCTGGGTCCCGTGAACACAATCATGTACCCACAAAGCCTGGCAAACAGCCTCTTAGCCACTAATTAAGGTATCTGCTTAATGACTGGAATGCACTGGACTGTCTTCCACTATAACCTGGGGCGAATACTGAATTTCTAGTCAGGGTGAGGGCCACTCCCTTTCCCACCCATACCACTCACCCCTTCTGATCTGGCCAACAACTCCAACTTACCCTGTTCACTAAGCACTTAAGGGTCTTTCTTCAACTACTCATCTTTATTTCTCACCTGCAGAATAGGATCATACCTCCTAAGGGTTGTTATGCCATGGAATGACAGTCTTCTCTCAGTGGGGCTTAAGATGCTGGTCTTCTCAATGCCCACTTCTGCCAGGTGAGCTCCTGGGTATGATGACCCAACCTCAAGGCAAAAGCCAACAAAGCTAGATGATCACAGGGACAAAAGGGCCCCTTCAGTGCAGCCAATCTTGATAATGGACTGCATGCTTAGCATGCATCCCTGGTCTCATTCAGAGATGAAGCTTCCACACAATTCCCTCCCTTTATATACACACCAGTGACTTGTAATTTGTACATGATTGTCTCCTGTCTGTCCCCATTCAAAGCAATGAATCATGTGCATCCACTCCCCACTTTTGTCTTTACCGTAAAAGACACACCAAACAAATCAATGTGGATTTTACTCCAAAGGAACGCTTTATTGACAAGTTGCCTCTTATTCTTTGTAGGAAGATACATCAGTGACCTGCACTCCTGTAGCCTGCCTCCTCACACAACTACTGATTTTTAATCCTGAAAGAGAAGACACCAAGATGTCTGTTTCTCAGCTCCCCGGTTCCTCATGGTTCCTTGCTTTGTGTGGTACAGTATTCTAAGGGCATCCAAAGAAACCAAGGAACACATTGGATCAAACCAGACACTAATATGGACAGACCCCATCCTTCCTCCAGGAGTGCAGAGATGTGCACAAAAGACAAAGTATTTGCCCTGCTAAGAGCCACTAAGGCACAGTGCTGCCCCTCCCTCCAGACCATGCCTCCCAACACTCAGGGCCCTGGCATTGAGAGGATGCAGAATGTGGCAATTGGAGGCAGGAGAAGGGAACTTAGAAGAAATCTTTGTAGCTCCTGAGAAAAGATGACAGCAGAGTTCTGGCTGAACCAAAACCACATCCCCTACCTGACCTGCAGGGCTGGTTCTGCTTTTCATTTGGTCTTTGTGTAATGGACAGGCAGGCAGGAACTATGGACCAGAGCCCTGCTCACTGTCAGTAAAGCAACACTGTGCAGGGCATATCCCATTAGGACGCCAAAGACTGAGGCTTTTTTCCTTCTCTCAGCGCTCCTGACCCACAGCACAAGAGCCTTGTGCCAGAGTGGAAAGCTACCAGGAAATGCCATTCATAAAAAGAACCAAGTTTTGCACACCAGGAGATAGTGTTAGAGAAATAAAATGCACTAACTGGTACTGGCAGAGTATGAGATGGGCCAGAGGTAAAATTCTACATAGTACTCATAACCCATTAAAGAACCCTCATGTATAGGGATATAAAAAAGATTATAAACAAATAAAGCATAAGGCAATGTAAGGCTTGAATTCAAAGAAATATTTTTCAATAATGAGGCTAAAGTTGTTTTGCCTCGCCTTTTTTCTATTTAATTTTTGAAAAGTCCATCACATTTAAAAAATAGTGGATCTGCTTCTGCCAAAGCCAGGTTGTTTTCTAAGAATGAAGCAATTGCTTAGGTTTCCTTTCTAGGGTCTCAGAAAATAGAGAACTCTCTCATTCCTCAAATCTGTAAGAAAAACTATAACCATGCAGCATGACCTAGGTGAGTGTATTCCTTGAGCTAGGAGGAGAAGGGCAGGCAAGGAAATGCTGTTCACTCAATACCCCTGACAATTCTTCCCCTCAGCATTCTGGTGAGACCACCAAAGGGAACATGGCTCCTGTTCAATAGTCCTCGAGCCCCCCCCACCCTGTCCACTTCCTGTGGCCCTGGAAAGGATGGCACAGTGATCTGCTTCATCTATGAACTTTAGTGTAAAACATTTATGTACAAGACTGTTCTCTAATTCATGCCAAGGCGGCAGCCACATCTGCATGTAGATGGGTATGACTGTCTTCAAAACCAGCTCTTCACTGGCCCTGGCTGGTTGCTCTGTCATGCAGAGTTGCAGCTGTGATGATGAGGGTGTGCTTCTGTATTCTGTGGATGATAAGCTATGACAAGCTTAGAAAGGGGCATGATCCGATAATGGTTGATCACCACTTCCAGGTGAGGAAGGGAGGTTATCGCTGCCATTCTCTCTGCTACCCACAACCTTAGACTACAGAAAAAAACAGAGAAAGTAAACCTAAGACACAACAGAAAACAGAATAGGTCCAGGGACCATGTTCAACTCTCTATAGGTTTATGCAACATGAACACTAGTCAGCAATGAAAAGAACTGAGTCAATGACGTACAACAGTCTGGATAGGTTCCGTGTGCTTCCACTAGATGGATTATATTGTGTATATTTAGAAACATGTGTCTGGGGGAGGGAGCTAGAGAAATGGCTCACTGATCTAGAGCATTTGTTGCTCTTAGAAAGGATCCAGGTTCAGTTACCAACACCCATGTAGTGGCTCACAACATCCTTTTTCTGGCCTTCACAGGATCAGGCACACACATAGTGCATATACATACTTGCAGGCAAAACTCAAAGTTCTTTTTTTTTTTTTTAATTTTTTTTGGAGACGGTATATTATGTATCCTGGAACTCTCTATGTAGACCAGACTGGCATGGAATTCACAGAGATTTGCCTGCCGCTGCCTCACAAGGACTGGGATTAAACATTCTGCTTATGTGTGCATGGTATATGTATGAATGGATGTGGAGACAAGAGGTTGACATGAGATTTTACTAAAGTAAATTATTTCACTAAACCCTGACCTCAGTGACTTAGTTAGTCTAGCTAGCTTCTTCTGATCTCCACATGTGTGCCATGGCATATATACATGCCCTCCCCCAAATACATTTTAAAAGAGAGACAGAACTGATTTAAGTTCTCACTCTTGTGCCACAAGCGTTTATCCACCAAGTCATCTCTACAACCTAAGGGACATTCTTAAAAAGATAAATTATAGAGATGAAGAACAGATTAGGGGTTGACAAGGCAAAGGAAGAAGGAAGGCTCTGATAAATAAGAATGTGTCTTAACTTGTTTTGGTGGCATACACCTATAATCCTAGGACTTGGGAGGCAGAGGCAGGTGAACTGAATTTAAAGTCAGCCTGATCTATATAGTGAATTCCAGACCATGCTGCACAGTGAGACCCTATCTCAAAAAAAAAAAAAAAAAAAAAAAAAAAAAAAATTAAAAACTAACAAAACAGAGTTTTGTGTCCAGAGACTTTCCCCAAGTTCTGTAAGATGTTATTACTGTAGGAACCACGTGAGGGGCACAAAACATGAGTTCCTGTAATAACTGATTCCTCAATAATAAATAAGTTGATTCAATAGATCACACCCATGCTTCAAGAAACCATACAACCCAGGGATAGTTACCTTTATGGTCCCCACTCGGTCTTCAAATGACTTGAAGGTTGCAGAGTTCCTTTAAAGAGAGAAAGAAGATTTTGGCATGAAGAACTGTTTTGCCGCTTCATCTTCTTCGTTGAAGGACCTAGGGCTGTGACCAGCTCCTAAACTCTCATTATGAAAGCATGACACACAGAAAGGGGAACAGTGACCCTGGAGACTCTACACAGGGTCATTTTGGGGAGCTTTCCAGGTTGGGTCCAGATGGCATTTAAGAGTACTGTTTTGCTCTGAGTATATTTATAAAACACAGCTCAAATTATTTAAAAGAAAAAAAAAAAAAAAAAAAAAAAAAAAGCATACTGGCATACTGTAAACCCCTGACTACAGTGTGCAGGGTCCTTGCTGTGATCTAAGTAGACAGCCTGAGGATGTGGTCCCCCATTATTACAAATCATGCAGTCAAGTTCCCACATTTTAGGAAATCACTGGAGTTAACACACAAGTGAGCGTCACCCTAACCATAAAAAAAAAAAAAAAAAAAAAAAAAAAAAAAAAAACCTCTTAATCATATTATCTCCTCTGGTTTTTTGTTTTGTTTTAATGTTGGGTTTATGGAGTCCTTCAAAAATATCTTCAGAAAAACCACAGACAGTTGACAGTTTTGGAATGGTAGAGGGTAGAAAGACAGAGTAGAAAGGGCTTCACATAATAAGACACAACAATCTTCGTAACAACAATGTACTTTGCTGAGGAACTATGCTTGGCCAAACAGCTGAGAAGCCACAGACCATACTAGAGATGGTCCCATTGGGCTTTGAGAATGAGGTCTCCAGAGATCCATCTGTAGAGGTCCCATGTCCATGTGCCAGCCTCTCTAACCCTCCCTGCTGAAACCACAGGCATCCAGAGCTAGAGCTTGCAAAGTTAAGTGTGAGTCATAGGTGCACAGACTGGTTCCCTCTGGAAGCCTCAAAAGAAGTTTCCTTCCCATGAGCTCTTCCTTGCCAGCCTACAGACAGTCTTTAGCTGAGAGGAAGCTGCCAAGAAAATGAAGACACATGGATTGGGGGACACAGAAGTAGAAGGTGTGACTAGTATTGCTGCCCACCCCCACCCAGAGACATTTCTGGAGCAATAGAAGTAGGCATACATTACCTCATGGCCGGCATACTTATCGAATGGCGGATGGAGTAGCTGCTGCTTGGAAGCACGGTGAAAGCAGAGAAGGAAGCAAGAATTAGCCCATGGTGCCAGATCAGCCCACATTTGCCAGCTTAGCTCATATATAGAAGAGGCAAGACTCTCCCAGCTCCATGAGAGTGAGCTACTGACCCTTTCCACATAATGCCCCCTCTTCCAGCTCGAAGGGTTTCCAATGCTGCCATTGCTGAGCAATGTGGCACGGACCCAGAAGAGTATTAAAACTGGGAAACTGAAACCAGTGTTGTACACCTTTAGTCCTACCACTAGGAAGGCAGAGACAGGTATATCTCTGAGTTCAAGTCCAGCCTAGTCTACAAGACAACTTCCAGCCCAACCAGGAATACATAGTGAAACTGTCTCAAAACAAAACAAAAAATAATAATAAACAAAACAGGGAAACTGTATGGAGACCTAGGCTGGGGCTTTGGGAGAATATCTGGTCTACAGTCTTCAGGTGCCCACAGCAAGCTGAACAATGTTTTGGCAAAAGTGTAACATCCTAGGTAAGTTAGGTAAAAATATTTAAAGTCACAGATTGCTCTGATTTGGCTTTAGACCTCGCAGGTCTACTACTACGATGTGAATACTGTACATGTCAGCATGAAGACTCCTAAAAAGGAGTTCTCGAATAATAAATTAGACACAACTCAAGTCTGGAGCATAGGATTTCTTCTCACAAACAGGAACATAGGCTCTGTACATGATAGGACTGAGAACACAGGGACAGGGTTGATATTTCCTCCTATGTGATAATGCTTGTTTTCAGGCATAAACTTAGGTATGGACATTTAGCATATGATGTTAGGTCAGTAATTTATTGTCCCAGGAACATGCAGTCCAACCAGGTCCAGATGAGGTACTCAAAACAGACAGTCATGTAAACCATGCCTTGTAAGCAAGAAGCTGCCTACTGGGTACCATCCTGAGGCAAAGGGGGTTTCCACTGCACTGGCTTTCCTACTTCCACCCAGCAAAGCCTCCCATAGGCCTATCAGAGTCCACCCTGCCCTAATATAGGTGTGTCCACAGGTCATGTCCAAGGTCACCTTACCTAAAGGAGTGTGAGAATGGATGAGCCCTGAAAGATAGCAGCAGGAGAAAAGAAAGATAGCATTATTAAGCAAGGGAGGCCATACAAGACCCCCAACAGAAGCCCTATGTTCCTCTGTTCAAATTCTGTAAGGTTAAGTAGGGTTAGTATGTGAAAAGACACTCTGAATGCTTCATTAGTGCTTAAACGGACAGGAATGGCAGAATACACAGCCCCATCCTGACTCCACAAAAGGCTAGTAAGAAAGCATATCTTGACAACCATATGCTTCATGGCACTGTATTTCTGAGCATTGTTATATGTATAACAATACAAATGATTACACATTAAAGGAAAGAAAGCAAAAACACCTGAGACATACGTAGTCCAGTGAGTAAAGACTTGAGTTGAGATATGACACAGTGAGCCATCTAGGCTGGGCCAACACTTCATGTCCATGGAGCACCTTACAGTCTCTGAAAGCTACACAGGAGCCTAAGCACCATAAGATGACCTAAAACATACTAGGAGCCAACCTAGAACATCCATGTCCAAGGGCAGGTGCTAACATAATAGAACATAGCTGGCCACTCTTCCACAGTACGAGGCCCTCCCCCTCTACATTGCTAGATTTATGAGTGACCTTGAGCAGAGGCTATTCAGAAGGGACCTCTGAAGAATGTACTCACCACTCTGTAGGTTTAAATCTACTTAAGTAAGGTCATCAAGCCTACTTCCCTCTTCCCATCCCAAGTCCAGGGTATATCAGGGACTCCTGAAGGTCCACTGGCTCTAGGACTGGTCTACCATGGACAGAGACATCCATCTAACCCTCCTAAACTCATGCTATTAACTTCCTGAGTATAATAGGTATTCTTAAGAAACTATGAGCATGATAGACCTGGGCCACAGAAGCCACTGTGATTATTTATGAGATGATGGTGCTCTGCTGTGGACCAGAGAAATCAGAGTTCAAAACACCAATACAAACACCAACACAAATGCTCTCTTCCCCAAGGGAAGGCATAGTAAACAGGAAGCCCTTTGGGCACTGTGAACACAACCAGCACAACCACCCAACTGGAGAGAACCAGTTTCTCTGACCTTGCTGAAAGCCCTCCCTTATCACTGCAGTTGGCCCACACATGCCAGCAGCACAACCACAGGGACCCTGCTAACGTAACTGCCTACTGTAGTCCCAAGACTGCATGCCATAGCACAGCAAATTCCAGCTCCCTCTGAGAAAATAGAAGCTATGTGTTCTCCAACAAGGAGAAGAAACAAAACAAGATCATGTCTCATGCTCCCAAAGAAAGGCAGGCAATAAAAACAAGCAAACAAACAAACAAACAAAAAGAACAGCTCCATCAAGACAACTAAACATAGTGGGGTAACAGAACCGCATGCTTTTAATCCCAGCACTCCCAAGGCAGAGATAGGCAAATCTCTGTATGCTAGAGGCTAGCTTAGTCTACAGAGCAAGTTCCAGGACAGCCAGGACTACACAAAGAAACTCTGTCTCAAAAAAAAAAAAACAACCAAACAGGCTAGGCATAATATCCATGTCTTCAATACCAATACTCAGGAGCTAGAGGCAGATAGATCTCTGTGAGTTGGAGCCTGATCCACATAGTGAGTTCAAGGCCAGTTAAATATACATAGTGAGACTCTTCTCCAAAAAGAAAAAAAGAAAAAAAAAAAAAGAAAGACAAGAAAAAGAAACGTTTCCAGATTTCTATCAGAATACTCTGAACAGACTAAAAAAGGAGTAAAGCTGAGTGTGATATCTCATGCCTCTAGTCCCCGAATTTGAAAAGCTGATACAGTAGAATTACTCTAAGTCCATGTGCAGAATGATGAACTATCTCAAAAGGACAAAAAAATAACTTAAACACACACACACACACACACACACACACACACACACACACATGCGTGTGCGTAGTGAGAACCCCTGAAATGAACAACCTATTTTTCAGGAAGCACAGAATAATAGTTCTGGGAGTTAAGCCAGGATATCAGTGGTATAATCAGCAACTACCCACCACTAGACATAACACCTCATAGTTCAAGAAGTCCCAAGCTGATCCTAAAGACAACATGTGACCTGCTCTAGCCATCCCATCTCATCATGACTCTGAATTCCTAGGCCACATCACTGCTTTGCAAAAGAGCTACAGGGAAAAGAGAATAGTGACCTTTCTTTTCCCAAGGAATACATAATGGTCAAAGGCAGACAACAGGAGTCAGAGGAATTCCCAAAACTGGTCCAGGTTATCATAGGTGTCCCTATGTTATGTGTCTGAACACCTGACCTGAAGCAGGTTTCAAACTGCTTACCTCATGTCTCCCAGCTTCCTACTGATGGCAGAACCCATGGTGGACAAGGCAGCAGATGTCTTCTGTCCTGCCTGTGAAAGGGTTTCTTGAGTCTTCTTGTAACTGGGAAAAAGACACACCACTTAGATTAACTAAACAGCAAGGGCAGCAAAAGTCCATCATTACAGAAGCAAAGTATGTAGAGAACCCCATGGGAAAAGCAGGGAGGAGCTGGGAAGGTGGTAAACACTCACTGGGCGGTGGGGGCATGCTCCCTGGACCCTACAATGCTGACCTACTGCAGTTTCTCAACTTCTAGTTCATCTAAACCTGGCCTGAGACTTTACCATTCTCCTGTTTTCTTATACTTCTGATTGCACAGGAAGCCAAAACCTGCCAACTACAGACGTGCTGGGTCTGGCAGCATACTTGGGCAGGCAATTCTGAAGCAGCAATGGTCAAGAAAGTTCTCGGCTCCTGAACAAGCCAATTCAAGCTCAAAGCTTCCCCTTCCAATTCCCACATAAGACAGCTAGTTTTCTGAGACAAGAAAGCACAAGCTGAAGAACATCCATGAAGGATGTCCCCAATGTGGGTTAGCATCCACTTCATTACACTCAAGAGCCCTTTGATTTCCAGCACTTTCTAGACAATATCCTTCCTGAACATGAATATCCTTTTCTCATGCTCCCTCTACAATGCATGGGCAGCCTTGGCCCACAGCAAAGACCACCAGTCCCACCTCCTCCCGCTCCCTCTATTGTTTATCCACATATATACCCATCATACCATGGTAACCTAAAGAACTTCCTCCACATACCTGGTAAGGCCTGAAGTGAGGGTACCAGTAACTGGCTTTCCAAGCCCTTCCTGCCCTTACCTCCTATAGGAGATCTAATAAGAGCCATTTGCCAGTCCATAGGTTAAAGACAGGTCTGGTGACCTACAAGGTTCCTGCAGCCTCCTTTTGAGCCTACTCAAGCCCAAGGTACATAGTAATTCCCTACCAAAGCTAGGAAAGCTTGATTCCTATAAAAAGTACACTTCACTGCAAACAAAGTGTTTCTTTAAAACATCAAGTTCAGGGCTGGAGAGATGGCTCAATGGTTAAAAACACTGACTATTCTTCCAGAGGATCAGGGTTCAATTCCCAGTACCCACATGGCAGCTCACAACTGTCTGTAACTCCAAGATCTGACACCCTCAAACAGACATGGATGCAGGCAAAATGCCAATGTATATAAAATAAATTATAAAAAATAAATAAAACATCAAGTTCAAGGTAACTAAAGACTACATTATTTATCTACAGAAATATAAATTCAAGATAACTAGTACCTACAAAAGGGAGCGAGAAGGGGAAATCAGGAAAAAGGCAGAGGCAGAGAGAACACAAACATACTCCAGTCAGTCAGACATGGTAGCTAGCACATGCCTATAATCCCAGCACGTGGAAAGCTAAAGTACGAGGATGAAAAGTCTGAAGCCAGACTAAACTGCACAGCAAGGCCTTATTTCAAAAAAGGAAGTGAAAGAGGGAGGGAGGAAGGGAAGGAAAGAAGGCAGGTCATAAGGTCATCACTCAGGTCCATAGGCTTCAGGGTTGCAGCCCACTGTGACAGCCTCATATACCCAGACAAACATAATCCTTGGCAACCTAGGAATCACTCCATGACACTACTGGGGAGCAGAGACAGATAGCGAGCTAGGGAGCCCTGTGGTGTGCTGCCCGAATCAGCTCCTCTTTGAGACTCAGACCTCTTAGAATGGTGGTTCTCAACCCATAGGTCAAGACCCCTTTAGGAGTCAACGACTTTTTCCACAGGAGCTACATACTTGATATTCTGCATATCAGATACTTACATTACAATTCATAACAGTAGCAAAATTACAGTTGTGAAATAGCAACGAAAATAATTTTATTGTTGGGGGTCACCAGCATTAGGAAGGTTGAAGACCACTGTCTTGGAAGAACCTGGAACAAGCAGTGTACCTGTCAGCAACTGTGCATGCGCTTTCCCTGCCCTTTCAGAGTCTTCCTTTTGAAGCCAATCTAACTTTCTTCTCGGGCTTACCAGAAGACACAGCTCCCTATGCATGGTAACTAATTCTCATAATATACACCTGGGAAACCTTGTTAGGCTGCAAAGCTAGAAGCAGGGGCTTCTCTGTCATCTTACCCTGATTGACACTAATTGTGCTGTTAACTGTAGCCCAAACAACTCAAAGTAAAACAGAGTTTATGTGGTACACTCAGCACTCTTGTTTCTAGTTATAGCTACCTATAAAAAGAATGCAACAAGGATTCATGACCCACAGTACATGGATGCTCCTTTATACACAAATGACTAAGAAAGCAAGCCCTACCCGCACATCTCAGCTGTATAAGGGCAGTACAAAGGGGCAGACACTCATATCAATGAATCTCATGTTGTTTTAGTCCTCCAGCATGCTACTGGGGGAAACTACAAACACACAAACCAAGAAGGTCAGGAAGCTTGCACATATGGCCTTCCTCTGTGAAACCGCTAGGCAGAGTCAATCCTACCAGTAGTCCAGCACCTGAATTCTGATCAGGATAGGCACTAACTACGCAGAAGAAATGAGAGCAAGTGGCATCTTTATTCCTATCCCCATTACCCTGGTTTCTTAATGCAGAATGACTCTAACTTTGGAATCACTGCTGACAGCTCTTTGCCCAAAAGATAGGACAAAAACCCAGAAGGCCTCTGTCAGAGGAAGTGACTGGAATGGGGTGTTCTATAAGCCACACTTCCACACAAAGCCATAGATTTCTTTTGGAGATACCAGAACCCCATGTCTTTCTTTTTTTTTTAAGAAACTTTTCAAGATGGTGCCCCAGACAGCTCTCTCCATGTCAGGAGATTTCTCAAACACAATGAATACACATTGAATCAGCATTATGAGCCTGTCTAGGGCTCTAGCAGCATACCTGATGTGTCTCCATCTGGGGAATATATACTTCCAGCAAACTCACTGTCTAGTGCAGTTCTGAAGACGACTGTCGGTGCTCATAGGAAAGCAGGTAACAACTGGGTGTTGAACCCAAGCAAACCAGAGCTTTCCATACCTGACTGCTTCCCATGACACCAGACTTTAAGGCCCTACATACACAGGGAACCAAGGTGGTTCCCAGGTACCTTTAGATAAGCTCAGCAGAATTTCCTTCAGGCCAAGCATGGAATGACTTCTTCCTGAAGCTTTCTAGTAACCATGTTAGCATTTCCTTCTAAAAGGAGACTATTCTCTGGCAGTCAAATCCTCCAGAAACCATCTCCTGAAGTCTGATTAAATCATGAATCAACCCGGCAGAGGACAAGGATATTATGACCAGACTGCTACACAGATAAATGACATGCCATTTACCAAGATTAAGGATCCCAAAACAATAGAAGTCACTAAACTATAGCTTTGACAGACATACAAGCCCCCCACAAGTAATTCATGCTCTACTGATTGTTGTTTTGTTTTGTTTGTTTTTGAAACAGGGTTTCTCTGTATTGTTTTCAAGCCTGTCCCAGCCTCCAACTCACAGAGATCCACCTGTCTCTACCTCCCGAGTGCTGGGATTAAAGGCGTGCACCACCAACGCCTGGCTGCTCTACTGATATTTTATGTGTCTGACAGTACAGAACCTCCAGACCACAGAACTTCATGAACCCACCAACATGTGCCATCATTACTCCCACCCCCAACAAAAAATCTCCTATACACCAACAGCTGGAGCTGAATCTAAGGGCAGAGGACAGGAAGACAAGCACAAAATTCACCACCACCAACAGGTAAGATGGCATCAACCGCCACATCACTGCCACAAGTCAGGGTGTACTTAATATTCAGAAGCACTGCCCACTCAGTTCAGGAACCTCATACAACCACACAGAGAACTTTAAGCATGGTCTGCTAACTCAGTGGATTTCTTTAACTACTGTACTCCATCCTTCAGGTATTCAAATCATACTTTTAGTGATAGTTGGGAAGAGAACGATAGCCAGCAAGCACTGAGAGACAGTCTGTGCCAAGGGTGTACAGTTTCCCTGCCCCAGGAAGACAGAGAGAAGAGTGAGGAAGGACACTGACAGCATTGGCACTCACAGGTCAGACTGGGTCACTTTCTCATTCCACTCTCCAAGTTTCTCAGACGTTTTCACATAGCTAAAAACAGAAAGTCTGTGATGAATATCTGAAATGATTTCAATACAGGCTTCAGGCTGCAGGTAAGAGTCCAGAGAAGACAGAAGCACCACCTGGCAAGGCTCCTGCTCTGCAGCCCACCCAAAGAGCCCAGAGCCACTACCATACCTGTGTAGGCCTGGGGCTAGAGAGGACACTACAGGACAAAGATGATCATGCCCTCTCCCAAACACAACACAGGAACACCTGCTCTTTTAATAGCAGAAGGCTCCTGGGGAGGGCACAGCTCATGGCCCCTGAATGCTCCGGCAATTACCATGAGACTGGACTCAAAGGCCCCAGCACTGCAGTAGTACAGAAACATGGGGATTCTATAGGTGAAATTTATAAAATGGGGTTCCATTTTTGCTTCTTCAGTTAAAAAGCTGCTGGAGACATCCCCCAAAGGAATGCTTTAACAGAAGAAATATGGACACAATATGGCAATCTCTAACCAAATACTGACAGCAAGTCACATTAAGACTAGGATCCAGTTCTACAGACACAGAAAAGTTCTCTAAAGACCTCATTGGTGCACTGACCAATTTGGACCCAGGGGAAACACTTTCTACTTGGACACCTAGCTAAATCCAGCCACCTTTTGAAACACATGTGGATTTCATCTCTTAGTAAACACAGGCACAGTCTCTAAGAACTCAAGTCTCCTGTTTACCTATTCCCAGCAGGCTCATTTAATACTGAGTGTTGCAAAGCATCTCATTCCCCAGCACACATACACTCCATCTGCAAGAGAGAGGCTTACCCCTAGTGAACACTTCTTAGCCAAAGGAACATCCCCACCACGGGACTGGTACCTACGCAGTAGAGACCTGCACATCATGCCAGCTCCTAGACAGGTTCTGCTTCAGCTCCCCTAAAGTAGAGAGACCAAGCCTCCTTTTCAGCTCTCCACAGTGCCTCTCTTTAGCTGCCAGGACCTGGCGCAGGGTGACAATTTCTTCTTCCACCTGTAAAAGAAGCAGGGCTGGGATATAGCTCAGTTGGTAGAGTGCTTGCCTTGCATATATGAGGCCGAGTTAGAACCCCAGTACCACCAAAAAGTAAAAAATAAAAAAATGCAGTTGACATTAAGAGGCTATGACTACTACAGGAAGTGACCAACAAATATCCTTTACAATACATGTAGTAAAGCTTTCTTAGAGGTTTTTCACTTAAAAAAAAAAAAAAAAAAAAAAAACAAAACACTATCTTAAAAATAGCATCCACAAAGGCAGCTGTTCTGCTTTTATCTGCCATTGCACCCCAACTTCTGAAAACCTACCCCCCACACTGGTGAGTAGTTCTCTAGGACCGAAAATCACTTCCCCCATTTCCCTCAAGCCTCAGAGTAACCAAGTGAGCTCTACCAGAGATCTTCCATGAGACATAAGTCCCTTTTCCAACAGGTTCTGGGCCTGGCTTAGACATGGTAACTGAATCTGCTGGAAGTAAGGGCTCACAGAGGAATCCCTTATACAGAAAACTGAGGGGCACAGAGACCTAGGGAAGAGAGAAGATTTCTAATGGCAACTGTTGTTTCAGAGGTCAGCTCCGAGCCTTGGTGAGAGCCAGTTCCTCAAACAGAAGAATATTCATTCTCATTCATCTTCCTCCCTCTCTGTCTCTCCCTCTCTCTCCCCTTTCCCTCCTCGTTTGGAGACAGGGTTTCTCTGTAGACCCAGGCTGACCTCAAACTCCGAGATCCACCTGCCTCTGCCTCCTGAGTGTTGGGATTAAAGGTGCGCAACGACCACTGCCTACCTCTCCTTTGTTCTTATGGCAGTTTGAGTCTAAAAGAAAGGGGGGGGGTGCGTGTTTTGAGACAAGCATTCTCTGTGTAACTCAATTTGTAGATCAAGCTCGCCTCAAACTCACAGAGACCCGAGAAGAGATCCCAAATACTAGGATTAAAGGTATATGCCACCACGGCCTGGCTAACAAAGAATCTTGATAATTATGAAGCTTTCCCACTACAGAATGTTTCCCCAATATTTTTAGTCACATTAAAACAGATACACTGTAAAAGAATTTCTTTTCAGTCAGGCATGGTGGTACAGTACTATAGTACCAGGAGGCAATTGTTTGACCCACCCCCCATATAGTGGTGAAACCCCTAATCAAAAAGATAATAAAAAGAAAAGAGAGGTGGATGGAAGTTGTCCACATCTTTAGTCCCAGTGCTCAGGAGGCAGAGGCTGTCAGATCTCTGAGTTCAAGGCCAACCCGGTATAAGGAGTAAGTTCCAGTACTGCCAGAGCTGTTAAACAGAAAACTTTGTCATGAAAAGAACAAACAAAAACCAAAAAACCAAAAAACAAAGAAGTCAGTGTTAGTGGCGCACACCTTTGATCCCAGCAGGAAGGCAGAGGCAGGAGGGTCTCTGTGAGTTCAAGGACAGTCTGGTCTACAGAGTGAGTTCCAGGACAGGCTCCAAAAAACAAACAGAGAGAGAGAGAAAGAGAAAGAGAAAGAGAGAAGAGAGGAAGGAAGGGAGGGAGGGAGGGAGGGAGGGAGGGAGGAAGGAAGAGGAAAACAACAAAAGTAAACCTGGTGCCACTTGCCTGTGATTCTAGCACTTGGAAGATAGAGGCAGGAGAACTATGAATTAGAGGCCAATCTATAACAAACTAAAACTAAAAAGCCCCAGTAGACACAGATTCATGAGGTCTCAAAAATGACTTTCAAGTGTTAATACCAGCGAACAGCATACTTGGAGACATTATTGTACAGGCATCCTCTTCATGGAGCAACCTAGTATTTCCAGACAGAGGTGGTGAGATGAGATCAGGCCCCGTCTCCTCCAACAGGTGATTCAAGTCTACACTTTACAGCTAGGCACATGAAGAGATAGCCCAGTGGACAAGAAAGCAGGTAACACCCCAACAACAGTCTGTCCCAGGATAAGCAATGTTGTACTCTCTGTATAACCCAAAAGGACTCATGATCACCCCAGAACAGGAAATAAAACCAAGGCACCTTAGCAAGCTCAGCCCGAAGCTCTTCCTCCTCCACCTCTGTCAGGCCCTCTACAGCTGGAGCTCGGGGGGCCACACCTGGTTCAACAGGGACATCAGTCATGAAATCAGACAGCCCACCTTTGTTAGGAGAATTCAGGTTGATATCTGTCAGAGACAAAAATGAAGTCAAAAAGTATCAAGTAATTTGTTACTCTACTAGGAAAGATGAAAGGAAACAGGTGGCCAAAAGAAGGCAGGAGAACTCTAGAACCTAGAAGTATCTCTAAAAGCCTATGATAATGAGCTGAGCATTGGATGGAGAACAGCACCTGAGATGCAAACTCAATACCTGTGCTGCTGAGTACAAGAAACACTAGTGAAGGCAGCCAAACCATAGGTTTGGTTTCCCTCGTGAAAATACTATCTTCTACAGTGAGAAGCCCTACTTCAAAGAAAGCAGTCCCATCTAATAAAGCTTCTATTTTTCTTTTTCTGCATGAAGGAAGTAAATATAGCAAGTGTTACTTTCCATCCAACTCAAGGAATGCTAAAGATTACATACATGGAATACATGCTAGTCATCCAGCCCCAGTAAGAAATCAGCAAAACAAATGTCACCATTACTCCCATCCCTGACCCTCTCGCAGACAGGAGACTGCCATATATACAAACATAGAAAGGAGTGCATTCTTTTACACACCTAGCACACTAGATACACTTCAAATTCCTGACGTCGCTGTTTTTTCTTGACATTAGGCACACCATCCTATCTGCACAAACATTTCAGAAGATACCACATAAAGAAAACCATTCTTAATTTTGTTTGTTTTGTTTTTCAAGACGGGGTTACTCTATATTGCTTTGGAGCCTGGACTAGACCTATAGACCAGGCTGGACTTGAACTCACAGAGATCTGCCTGCCTCTACCTAGAGTGCTGGGATTAAAGGCATGTGCCACCAACACCTGGCTAAGAAAACCATTCTTACCAAGCATGGTGGTTCACATGTTTAATACTAGCACTCAGGAGGCTGAGGCAGGCAGACCTCTGTGAGTTCAATTCCAGCCTGGTCAAAAGCGGTAGAATAGAAAGGAAAATATCTTAATCACTTATATATTTGTCAACTGCACAAATTTTAAAATCTCCTAAATATACATTGAAAACACTAAAAAACCAGAAGTTCTACTCAACAACATCTTTTTTTTTTTTTTTAAGACTTTTTAAATTTTGGGTTATCAAGACAAAGATTTATTGTGTAGCCTGGCTACACAATAGAATTCAGTAGACCAGATTGGCCTCAGAGATCCGTCTGCATCCCTAGTGCTGGGATTAAAGGGGTGTGACTTTGACTTTTGCTTGTTTCATGCAAGTCTGTAGGACATTTTCTTAATTAAAGTTTTATTTATTTATGGGGCAGGAGAGATTGTTCAGTGGCTAAGCTAGCACTTGCTGTTCTTCCAGAAGACCTTAGTTCAATTACCAGCACCCACACAGTAGCTCACAACCACCTGTCACTCTAGTTCTAAAGAAAAGATGTACTTAGCCAGGCAGTGGTGGCGCATGCCTTTAGTCCCAGTACTCAGGAAGCAAAGGCAGGCAGAACTCTGTGAGTTCGAGACCAGCCTGGTCTACAAGAGCCAGTTCCAGGACAGCCTCCAAAACCACAGAGAAACTGTCTTAAAAAAAAAAAAAAAAAAAAAAAAAAAGGAGGAAAAAAAGAAAGTAATTATTTATTTAGTAGAGGTCAGAGAATGACTTGGGAAGAAGATCAGCTCTCTCGTCCCATCATGTGGGCCCTGGACCTCAAACTCAGGTTGTCAGGCTTGGCATCAAGCACCTTTATCTTGCCAGTTCATGACTTGAATTCTCATTGTATTTTATTGGTGTTTTTGCCTGTATATATGTATGTCTGCATGAGGGTGTTGGATCCTGGAGTTACAGACAGTTGTGAGCTGCCATACAGGTGCTTGGAATTGAATTTGGGTCCTCTGAAATAGCAGTCAAGACTCTTAACTGCTGAGCCATCTCTTCAGACCCTAATGACTGGAATGTTTAACTAAGATTTTTTAACTGAGAGTTTATTTCATCATCTATATTTATTGTGCTGAATCTACTCAAATTTAGTTAAGTACCTCAAAAATCTTTACAATTATAAGGTTGGAGAGTGTTTTCTGTTGTTCCAGGGCATCATATTTAGGGTTTCTATTGGTGTGATAAAATACCATGACCAAAAGCAACTTTGGGAGGAAAGGATTATTTCACTTACACATCTCAATCCACTATCAAAAGAAGTCAGGGCTGGAACCTGGAGGCAGGAGCTGATGCAGAGGCTATGAAGGAATGCTTTTTACTGGCTTGCTTAGCCTGCTTTCTGATATTATCAGAACCACTTCCACAGGGTTGGTGGCCAAGAGCTGGGTCCTCCCACGTCAATCATCAATTAGGAAAATGCCCTACAGACTTGCCCACAGGTCAATCCTATGATTGTATTTTCTCAATTAAGATTTCTTTTTCCTGCCAGGTGGTGGTGGCACACACCTTTAGTCCCAGCACTCAGGAGGAAGAGGCCAGCCTGGTCTACAAGAGCTAGTTCCAGGACAGCTTCCAAAGCCACAGAAACCCTGTCTGGAAAAAAGAAAAAACAAACAAACAAACAAAAAGATTTCTTTTTCCCACCAGGCAATGGTGGCACATGCCTTTAATCTCAGCACTCAGGAGGCAGAGGCAGGGGGATCTCTGTGAGTTCAAGGCCAGCCAGCCTGATTTACAGAGTAAGTTCCAGGACAATCAAAGCTACAAAAAGAAACCCTGTCATAAAAAACAAAACAATAACAAAGGATTCCTTCTTCTCACATGACTCTAATTTGTGTCAGGTTGACACAAACATATTTGCCTGCACACAGAGGAACCAAGTTTTATGTGAGCCTGGCTGGGAAATGGTCTGTGTTTACTATCTGTTGAGGATGCCAGTGGCTTCAAGTTTGTCCTTTCTTCCTCTCCCCCCCTCCTCTCTTTCCTTTCTACTGTGGTGCCAGGCTAGAACCACAGCCTCACACCTACTAGAGAAAGGCCTTTACTGTTGTTGTGTAAAGTTTCCTCTGAAACTGAAAAATTCCATCCTGCAGGGAAAGCTCCTTAAGCAAGAAGGCAAACAACTCAAAATAGCTTCAGGAAATCCCTGAAACTAACTAGATTCACTAAGGCCCTCCCTGACAGAATCAACAATAAAAGCTGAAAGTCCTTCGGAGACAACTGAAACTGGGCTGCAAAGAAGACTCTTGAGACCAGAACAGCTGCCCGGAAGAAGCAGAAATCAGGTCAAACTTTGAAAACATTTAGACCAACTGAGGCTCCTGAAAAGGACACTCTCCATGAGAACTTCCAAAGCTCAATGAATCTGCAAATACCCATCAAAGTAGAAACACATTCAGAATGTATAAGAACCCAGAAATTCTGCCCCCTCACGGGGGTAGGGGGAGCTCGCCTTTAATCCCAGCACCTGGGACAGAGGCAGATGGATCTCCGATTTCGTGGTTAGCCTGGTCTATCTGTAGAGCCAAGTTCCAGGACAGCTAGGGAGGAACACAGAGAAACCCTGTCTCAGAAAAACAAAACCAAACCCCAGAAATTCTAGTGTTTAGGTCATGTGTCGGCGCAGGTCATCCGTAGAAAAGCTTTTTGAGGTTAGCTAGTGTAGCTAAGTAAGCATCTCTACTTGTACCACCTTCTCAAGATTTTAATCTCCTGAGCCTGAGCCACACTTCTCCGTGGCAACTTCATACTGGTTTCCAGTGTCTGCTTTGGCATCAGCTCTGTTCTGGGTGTGCCCCTGACTCACTCTACCCTTCTCCCATGAGGAAACCTCTTAAGTAGGTTACAGCGGCGTTACCACCCAAGGGGATGATGGTTGCACCTCCCCTTCGCTGTAGAAGAGCCGCCCACAACGCCTCGGCTGGAGTCCAGCACCAGATGGGGTAGTCCCAAGGGAACAGCGAAAGATAGAGGGCCGCAGAGCCAGCAAGTGGCGAACAGACAGTGAGCCACATAAAGAGAAACGTCTGGAGTTATGAAACTCTAGGAACGGAGAGGGCGCCGTGGAACGACGCTTCAGAGACATCCCAGGGGAGGCCCAGGTGCCGTAGCAAGGCAGAAACGGCGCACACATCACGACCATCAGGAGCCTTGAGGTCAAGGGCCTGTCGGCCAAAGAGAGGCCATGAATCGGACCGGCGAAGGCTGAGAGGACCGAGGGGCCGAGTCGCGACGGCCGGAATGCGGCGCAGCCCCTGCCCACTAGCGGGTACCTTGGCTGGCGGAGTCCATACTCAGGTGGCAGCTGGGCTGTAGCTGGAGTCGGCGCGGATCGCAGGCACTACAAGAGTCAAGCTCCGAGTACTGGAAGCTGGCAGCCGCGTACACGCGAGCCAGTGGAACTGTCGGGCCGCAGCAGTATTACGTAATCAGCGACGCGCCGCCTTACTTCCGCTTGGGTTTGTGCTCCGCCCAATTCTCGGCCCTCGCTCAAGTGGTGTCCAATGAGAACACCCTCTGGCCCTACGTAAGACTAATCATTCACTTTTATAGCTCCAAACTACAGCGAAGCGGGAAGTAATTCTAACAGGCTGGCCCCACCAGTAAGATTCCTGGGTAAAAAGGCCAGAGCGGCCGAAGCTTGAGGGACGGTTCGGTTTGTGTCACAGTGCGCTGACCCCCATCATATCCTCAGCTGCCCACGAGCCCCTCGACCGCGCACCTTGGCGAGTCAGACTCAGACCTGTGCATCCCCAGCCCCCAACCAACCCCTCCCCGCCTCCGGTGAAGTCTTATTGGTCTTGGTTTTGGAGACAGCTGACTATGTAGACAAGGATGACCTTGAATTTAACGATCCTCCAGCCTCCACCTCCCTAGTGCTAGGATTACAGGAGTGAGATATCACAGCCGATTTGTGTCGTGTTAGGGATCGAGACTCCAAAATGTAATGCATGCTAAGCAAGCACTCTACAAATTAAGTTGTATTTGCAGCCTCTTTATGAAGACATTATTGTCTGGAGGTTGTACTAAAAATAAAAGAGCGCGGTTCGTCCTCTTCTCCAGCAGGCGTCGCTGTTTCCAGCTGGAGATGGCATGCAGTCTGGTTCTGGAAGAGTTCACAGAGCCCTCCACAGTCGACCCTCCCAGGAACTGAAGCCCAGCCCTGTGCCCGCACAGCAGTGTTTCTCACTTTTCCACAGCACAGCACTGGTGCCCCCTCCCAGTTTACAGATGAGCAAACTGAGGGTAACATAATTTTCCAAAGAGCATTCCGGAGCTTTGAACTTTGGTGCTGTTAGTGTGCCAATACTAACAAGAGAATAACACCCCCCCACCCCGACTTCACATGAGGGAGCTGTGACCACTAAGCAGCTGTCTACAAAAAAAAAAAAAAAAAAAAAAAAAAAAGGCTCACAGTTTCTTTTGGCCCTTATTTTCCTGGAAGAAAAACCCTTAAACGATATTCTCCCGTTTTCAGAATTGCCTCTCCTACAAAGTTGAACTCCTCGGCCAGGCCCCTGTGAGTACTGGGAGCTTTCTGGAAGCTTCTGGAAACTTCCCACTGCCCCTGCCTTCTCTGGTACTTCCTCCTACAGATATCTTCTTGCGCAGGACCAGGTGCTTCATTGACTATGACAGTATCCTGTTCAGGGCTGTCCATTAATGTGTCTTCCCCATTTACCATCTTGATTAACTCAACCTGGCCAGCCCCTGTCCACAGAGCTGGAAATGACAAGAACAACCAGTAGTCTGTGGTTCATGTAAGGATTCAGTGCAGATGGTGGTGAACTGAAGACTTGACATTCTGTTTTGTAGTCTTTTCTTGGGCGGGGGTGGGGGGTGGGGTGAGCTGTCCTAAATTAGAACAGGCTAGCCTCAAATTCACAAAGATATGCCTGACCCTGTCTCCCAAGTGCCGGGATCAAAGGCTTGCATCACCATGCCCACCTTCTGTTTTTCATTCTTGAGACATGAGCAAATCCCAGGTCTGGCCCAAGAAACAAGTGATGATTCAGGATCTCTGGGATCCAGGCTACCTTGTGCACTATTACTCTAGGCCCACAACAGCCCCTCTATGTATCTTCCATCATAGAATTGGGGAATAAGAACGCAGCAGCAACTGCTGAGAAGGGCTAGCAATGAGGCCCTACAATACCAGTACTCTCCTTACTCCCCCCACCCCCAAATAGCCCTGTTTAGCTCTGGCTGTCCTGGCACTCACTCTGTAGACCAGTCTGGCCTTGAAACTCACAGAGATCCGCCTGCCTCTGCCTCCTGAGTGCTGGGATTAAAGGTGTGCCACCACTGCCCAGCTAGTACTCTCCTTTCACTAGGATGTTGAATGTTCATGTCCTTTTCTCAGGAGCTACCCTGTAGCCCTACAGCCTCCCCTGATCAGACATCACCTTACCATAAATTGGGTCAGGTTTCACTTTTACATTCCCTTCAAGAATTAGGCACAGGCATTCTGATGTGTGGGATAGGAGGAAGAGCAAGGACAGAGGCAGGAAAGAACAGAAAGCAGGTGAAGGCAAGTACACTCTAAGATGTACTTGCCCACTCCCCCAGACACCAAGATCCCAGTACAGCCAGCTTTTCTGTAGATATAAGAGAGGAACAGTTGAGTGGGGGAGGGGAGAGCTGAAAGGAGTACAACTGCCCAAATTCGTGAGTCACATAAACAGTAGCTACAGTCTCCAGGGCAATTGGAAGTCCTCAGGCTCCAATGGGCTGCAGTGTGTTGCCTCCAAGTTCTTGAGGTGCTTGCGTGCCAGGAACAGTGCAAGCTGCCGGCGCCGCCGGGGGCTGAGGCCTTGGCCCACAAGCCAGGGGAAAGTAGGTCCGTGTGGTCCCCAGGCCTTGGCATCATCCATCTCCTTCTGGCAGCGATCGCGATAAGAACGCAGCGTTGCCAAGCACCACTCATCATCCACGCGGTAGCGTGCATAGAATGCAGCTTCTTGATCCAAGTTGCTGGTGCGTAGCCAGCGGGTTACCACCGTGCGGCCCTCGCGAGCCATCACAGATGGGTATCGGTGCTGCAGCAGGCGCAACAGCAGCTCATTGCCACGGTTACCTTCTACATCACCCTCCACTTGACAGGATGGCAGACTAGCTACATGGCTCGAGGTGCTGACAACATCATCTTGTATGCGTCTGAGCAACAGTACTGGGCCTGGGTAGCAGCACAGCTGCTCAGCAACATTGAGATTGAAGTGCTCCCGTACAGTGCGTACCACCAGCCCCTTCCAACTGTGGGGCATGACCTTCAGCGCTAGTGGCACAAGATCATCAAAGGTGGCATCCAGCACCAGTGCACCCAGTTCTGGGTAAGTCATAGTGGCCCAGGTGGCTGTGAAGCCTCCAATAGACCAGCCATAAACCACGACTTGTGCTGGTGGGAAGTGCAAGCGGTGTAGTGCATACTTGACCACCACATCCATTGCATTTGCATCATGTTGAGGGAAAGGTGCGCCTGTGCTGCCCCCAAAACCAGGGTGGTTCCAGCCTAGCACTGAGTATCCAGCCTCCAGAGGTGCAGACAGGCAGCCCATCTCGTAGAAGCCAGCATTGCCTTCACAGCATATGACCAGGCACAGGCCACGGCCATGGCTGCCGGGTTGCTGGCGACGATCCATGAACATGGTGTCAATTTCATTGCCATCGCAAGCCACCAGCTTGGCACGCCGCCCACGGTAGCGCTCCACTAGGCGCTCTTGGCCCTGCTGCAATAGAGGCAGTAGGGCACGCGTCATCAAGAACATAGAGCCAGGATATACAAGCCAGCGGCCCAGTGAATGGGCCAGTGCATAGCTGGCGAGTTGGCTGGGCAGCTCACGGATCTGCTGGAGGAGGCACTGTGCTTGGCTCCGAGTCCCACGTGGAGGCCTCGTGAGTGAGTCCCCGCCCAGCGCTGCATCATGTAGCAGCCATACACCGGCTGCAGCTGCAGCGCACGTCAAGGCACGGTGACTGCTGCTACCAGAGACTGTGGTATGCACGTCATCCCAGCGGAAGTCCACCGGCCAGCTGCGGAAGTTGTAAGTGTAGTTTGCTGTCAAGTAGATCTTGAACACATGCACTAGTGCCTTCACAAAGCAGATGACACACATGGGCAGTGAATCTCTGTGCTGTTCCCCGCTAGCCCCAAGGCCAGAAGGCCCAGTCCTGGTAATGGAATGGCAGCAGGAGACGCAGGCCCGGCCCAGCGGGCGGCTGCGGGGTTAGAGGCCACGCACCGACTCTGATGGCATTACTCCTCTTGGTTAGCCCCAATGGCCTTTGTGACCTGTGCCTTTCAGGGCCCAAGGGAAAGCTGTGTCACTCTCAGTTTTGTGAGTCATTGTTGCTGGGAGAAGTGACACAAGGATTTCTCTGCTTTGGAGCCTGTCCTGGAATTCGCTCTTTAGAGCAGGCTGGTCTCAAATTCACAGAGATCCACCTGTCTCCACCTCCTGAGTGCCGCCCACCTCAAAGGGTTCTAAGGCTTGGTATATCTCAAATTCTGTCCCACACTCTGGGACAGTACCTTGGGACCACACAGCAGCTTCTGACCATGTTTCGAGCACCTTGAGCTTCTTCTGCCTTCTCCACTGAAGATAGGCAATCAAAGAGGCCAGAAAAGAATAGCTTTGACTTACTCCTTTTGGGGGGAAGAGAAAAATAAGCAAAAGGGATTTCCCACACTTGGGCCAAACTTGTTGTGGGTAATACACTCTTAGCCCCTCCTTGGACGTTGGGGTTTAATGGTTTACATTTCCCAGCAAAAATCTAGGTTAGAACAGAGCTGCTGTTGGGGTTAGGTATGTTTGCTCATAGCTTTACTCCTACAGCTCCACACTTACCTTCCCTGGAAGGTGGATGAAGGTGGGCTAGGAACATCTTCCTGAAACACACACACACACACACACACACACACACACACACACACACAGAGGCACAAACATCTTTTCAGAATCCTCTTTTCACTGGACCAACAGCAGCCATCACCTCCAGGTGGGTCCTGCCTAGCTGTGGTTCTGTGGTTCCTCCTTTTCAGCCCTGGCTGAGCATCTCTCTCCCACTTGAACCAACCCACAAACTATCTTCCTCTTTTCTACAGAGTTCTTGTGAGTGAGTTCCCCTTTTTCTCTTGCACTGAAGATGGCCAGCCCACCTGAGGGTCACACAGAGCTGGGGAGCAGCATATTCCAGACCTGAAACAAATGCAAAAAGCAAGGAAACTCAGCCAGAACTCCTAAGCCAAGGTCTGGGACTACCTGAAAGGCCTCAGGCTTTTAAGGACAGTGGTTTTTTCAGGCCCAAGCAACCACTTTCTGGTCTCCTGTTCTACTTTCCAATTTAGGTATTAAGAGTCCCAGGCTACTCCATAGCTTTTGGACTCAGATGAGGGAACAGAGGAGTAGGACTATCAACAGAATTTATTATTTTGAGAAGCT